CTCCACCCATGAGTTGTCAAAATGGGTACCTTAACCTCTCTGCACTGTGTAGAGATAATGACTACACTAACACACTCAATACTTCCTTCCCTCTCCTCTCTGTCCAGTCCCTTCTTTGGGAGCAGTGCGTACAGTTTGGGTACTAGACAAGGAATATTATAAGCCCCCTTGACACCCGGCTCCAGATTCTGTTCTCCTTCACAGTGCTCTCTTTCTCTAGCACACAGCATCATATACTTTGCACCAATAAATAATTCTTGTTAAGTTTATAAATGGTAAGTTCCCCAGTCATGTAGATAACCTCACAAAACAGAGAAAGTCTATTTATATGTATTGCTGACCACACATATATAGCCTAGTGATACCAGGGGAGTGCTCTGCCAGAGATTAAATTTTTAGATTCTTTTTTAGCGAGAGAAGTGCTAGCTAGCTATTTTACCAGCACTGAAGTGTAATCAATGAAAAGCTGAGTCTCCAGAAGGGTAAATCACCCAGAATTACTATGGTATCCACCTAAGGAGGGTAATATGGGGTGAAGAACTTTTATCATCTGGGGACAGATGGCGTGACAAAACACTTTAAGTTTTGAGGATTCACAAAGAGAACTACTCTATTCTCCCTTTGAGTTGATCAACTAGGAAAGGAGGCAGGCACAGTGGAAGAGATAACAATGAAACCAGGGCTGACCCAATGTTCCTGGGCCACCTAGCGTTCCTAGAAACTGCAAGGAAGAGGATTCAAAGGCAGAGCACCTGTGAACAGGTAACTGTGGGACAGGCTCAGCACCTCTGAAGAATCATCGCAGCCTGTGCCGATACATTCTCAACAAATAGTGTAGTAAGCACTAGTGGAAGCCCTAGAGGGACTAGGCTCTGGGTCTTCCTATGTTCTCTGCAGGAAAAAAGGCTGAGCTTCCCCTCCCACCTCCACAATAGACCAGTAAGCACAGAGATTTCAGAGCAATTCAGGTGGCAACACGACAAACCTGAGATACTACATTTCATTCCAATAAAGCTATAGAGATTCAACTGAAGAAAAAAATAAATCTTAAGAAAAAAATCATAATAAAACTGACCATACTTGAAGACTGAGGTTTAAGAACAATTCACACTGGTTATATGTAGTGCATGTCTGTTGTACATACTTTTACGCATTAAAGTACAACATGTTCATGTTTTTACTTTGGGCTAAAAATTCTTCCTTTCTTGGTATGCAAAACAAGTCTTGAGGGACAAAACTATTTCCCCCCAAAATATGTTGATTTATAGACCAGATGTAAGTAATATCTTTTCTGATTCCTGGTTACTTTTTGTTGTTTGTTATCAAAACCTTCTCTCATGGGAGTTCACAGAGCATTTACAGCAAATCACAAAAGTATCAAGCTTCTCTTGACTATTAAGGATTAGCTGGTTTTTCTACCTCCTGCCGTATCAATTGGCTTTTGTGGCCTTTACCAAGGGTGAATATCACAAAATGTTTGGCAAGTACCCCTGCAATGATAGAAACTTTCCCCCAATAATCCTTTCTTTGTAAGTGCACAGTATTTGTCTTCATAATAGATCACATAATTTTGTTTATTCAATTAGAAAAAGCCTTTGGAAGAAAATTAGTTTAAATTTGTTCTATAATAAACAATGTTATAGTTTTGATACTGGGAGTAGAGAAACACAATCTATAGATGTTTAAGTGCTACATGCTTAAGGAAAAAATATATCTATTTTATATATATATCTTTTATATATATATATATATATATAAAAGAATGCTTATACTTCCAGACATGACAGGGCAACTGATACCAGATGTGCCTCCCACCAAAACACTAGAAACCAGTCAAAAACATATAAAGCAACCATTTTCAAGCAATGGACAGGCAACACAGAACTATGATCCTTGAAATATAGGAATCACCAGAGGTGAACCCCATGTTGGATAAGACTATCTGCCAAGGGGCACATTCTGGGCCACAACACAGAAAAGTAGAACCCAAACAGAGCTCAGGTCTCACAGAGGTGAAGAGGCAGAGATCAGAGTCTGGGGTAACTGAAGCACCTGGAAAATGCAGGATAGGGCACCAAAGACGCAAAAGCTGTGAGAGGGGGGAAAGGGTGCTATGGTCTGAATGCCTGTAGCCCCTCAAATTTCATATGTTGAAACCTAATTATATTCAGAGGTTTTTAAACCAGAACAAATAAACATGGTAAAATGTTAAGTGTTTTGATGGAATGGTAATGTGTTGGAAGTCTGTACATAAGAGTATAGTCTACATATAAGTGACTATCAGTCAGATATCAACTGGTGTCTACTGTCAGCAAATGGGGACAACATGACAGTCCCTCACATTATTTTCTATGCTTATGGATACTTTTCCACAGCATGTCTCCAAACACAATCAAACATTTGGGGGATGTATACCTAGCCCCTTACTCATTTAAATCATACCTCATAATGAGATGTACATATAAATATGTGAGTCAAATAATAGTAAAGTCTAGTTCATTGCTACTCACGTGACCTAGAAAGAATAAAGCCTAAACATGGCCAATCAACATTTTCTATCCAAAATACATAGCTATTGCTGTATATAATTTTACTCAAAACAAATAAAACAAATAAAACCAAACACAGACAATGGAAATAAAGCCAAGAAAATAAAATCAGAAGTATATGCCTCTAGCATCTTGTGATACAGGTGAGATATAAATAAATTATATGAAAGTAGTCAGGAAATGTATACCCTTCATTGGTTATTAGGAGGCAGTCAATGATATTGTAAGTACATCCTTAACCTCTAAGAATATATAATGGAAGGAAATGACCACATTCTACCACAAAATGTTCTTATATTATAGGGAAAGACAAAATAATACAACACACAGAACAATGGTTTAACACAGAATTGTATTTTTTATATATTGTATTTTTTATATATTCTTTAAACATATGTAAAAAGTTTATAAACAGCATTATATCCATGCATTTTGATCCTATAATATATCTTGTATAAGTTTCATATATGAAAATGTTATGAAAATTTAAAGTATTATCTTTACTGATACATCTTCTAGGCAATCTTCAAAAGAATCTAATCTTCTGGGTCTCTGAATACATAAACTTGATGAAAGCTATAACTTGATGAAATGCCACTGAGCCTAATGATATGTAATATACTCTAAAGGAAAGATCATATTCTATATTGTGTTATAAGTATTTGTATTAAGTATACTAAGACAGAATACACTCATTCTATGAGGTTAAAAAATTATTTTTAAGCAAAGTCACAGCTATACTGGTACCATTTCTATAAACAGTATTTTTTTTATTTCAGCATATTGGGGGGGTACAAATGTTAAGGTTACATATATTGTCCATGTCCCCCCTCCCCCCTTGAGGCAGAGCTTCAAGCATGACCATCCCCCAAACACTGCACATCTCACTCATTGTGTTTGTATATGCCCATCCACTCCTCCCTCCTCCCACCTGCCCGACACCCAATACATGTTATTCCTATATGTCCACTTAGGTATTGATCCGTTAATATCAATTTGCTGGTGAGCACATGTGGTGCTTGTTATAAACAGTATTGAACATATATATGTTAAGGCTGGTACAGAAAGTCTAAAAATTAATCAGCTACTATGTTTTCACTTAGAAATTTCTGTACTTGAAAAAAACTTTAGAGAAAGTATTTTGAAAATAAAGAAATATCACAGATTTTTTTCATTCATGGGTTTAACATGCATAGTTTTAACCTTGAATTTCTATGACAGGGAGTAATTTGTAATTTTGAGTCACATACTTCACTTGGATATACTAAAAGGCTGATTGGTGGTCCTGAATGAGTTATAAGGAAAATTAATTGCAGCCAAATTGACATCTATATCTTTCTCTGCTCATTCTTGACTATATAGTAACTTTCATGTAACGCATGAAGCATAAGTTTTTTATTTTTTAATTATACTTCATCTTTTTTAAAATATGGGAAATTATATATGACAATGGAAGTTACAAATATGTGGATTCAAAAAGCAAGGTCTCGGGCCTGGCGTGGTGGCTCACGCCTGTAAACCTAGCACTTTGGGAGGCTGAGGCGGGCGGATTGCTCAAGGTCAGGAGTTCGAAAGCAGCCTGAGCGAGACCCTGTCTCTACCAAAAATAGAAATAAATTAATTGACCAACTAAAAATATATATACAAAAAATTAGCCGGGCATGGTGGCGCATGCCTGTAGTCCCAGCTACTCGGGAGGCTGAGGCAGTAGGATCGCTGAGCCCAGGAGATTGAGGTTGCTGTGAGCCAGGCTGACGCCATGGCACTCACTCTAGCCTGGGCAACAAAGTGAGACTCTGTCTTAAAAAAAAAAAAAAAAAAAAGCAAGGTCTCTAAATGTCCCTCCTAAGAAAGTCAAAAAGTTTAATGGTAGCTGTCAACGGAATGTATGATTTTAGTACTGGCTGTCTATAGGCACATCATAATTTAATCATATGTTCAGCAGGCAAACTGACAATTCTAGGACTCACATTTAAATTGTGCTACTAAATTTTAGCATGATGCCTTTTTAAATCAAAGTTAACATACATCAGTTACCTCACTGTAAAATGAGAGAAAACACTGTATGTATCTGACTTTTGGATACTAAATTGATCATAATATATCATGCAAAGTTCACCTAAATTCTCTTACATGAAATTCAAAACTGAAGTGGCTCTTGGAACAAATATTTTGTCATGGCAGTGATTCTAAGGGGCATTGATTACAATGCATAATTGTAGTAATTACAGCCCTATCTAAAACATAAATGCTACCTTCTTATGTTTGCATCAGGAAAAAGACTCTTAGTAATACTTCACTGACATTCCTTAGTTTCATCTTCAAATATATGAACAATTGACTACTTATAAATATATCCATAGCCCATTGCCTAGATATACAGTGAGAAACATGACTAAAGACAGATGTGTAATAGGTAAGAAACTATTGTGTGCTATGGACTATGATTACCTGGAGGTAGGAATTGCAGTTGGTTATTAGCTAATCGAAGATGACGTAAAGCTCTCAGACGACCAATTTCTGGGCAAACGATTTCTAAGGCATTGTCACTAAGATCCAGACACTGGAGTTTTACAAGGGACCCAATGGCTTCAAAGAGAAAAGAAGAGGAAGGGCAAGATGAATTTGACCGAGGTATTACACCAAATCGATAACACAAGTACTCTAAGTTAAAATATTTTAATACTTAATATCCCTGTCTCAGTTACTCACAAAATAGTAAAAAAATAGACCAAACTAAATTTAATGGAAGTGATAAATACTTCCATCTTGAGATAAAATATAATCATGTAAAAAATAGCACAAATGAAAACACTAAAACAATGTAAAAATTGCTTGAATAGGCCAGGCATGGGTGGCTCACACCTGTAATCCTAGCACTTTGGGAGGTCAAGGCAGTAGGATCACTTGAGCCCAGGGGTTGGAGACCAGACTGTACAACACAATAAGACCCTATCTCTAAAAAAAAATAGAAAAATTAGCTGGGCTAGGGGCATGCACCAGTAGTCCCAGCTACTCATGAGGCTGGGGTGGGAGGATGGCTTAAACCTGGGAATAGAAGGTAAGATTGGGCCACTGCACTCCAGCCTGGATGACAGATTGAGACCTTATCTTTAAAAAAAAAAAAAAAAGAAAAACTGCTTGAATAAATAATTCAAGAAACAATAGACAAGGTCTTTCTTATCCAACCAGAATTCTTAACTGCATTTAGTAAATTTAGAATTTTATTTACCTAACAGCAATTTATCTAATAATAGTTTATATAACCATTTTAACCAATTTAGACTTATTATTTATTCATAATTCTTAACGGGACTTATTAGGGGGAAAAGCTTTGAAGCTAATAAATTAAAGGTGATTTATAACTAAAATTCCCTAATACATCAACCAAAATTGGGTTAAAGCGACAGTTTTGGCCAAGTGCAGTGGCTCATGCTTATAATCCCAACACTTTGGGAGGCTGAGGCAGGAGGATGACTTGAGCCTGGAATTCAAGGTTACAATGAGCAATGATAGCACCACTGTAATCCAGCCTGGGTGACACAGCGAGACTCTTGTCTCTTAAAAATAAAAAAGAGAGAGAGACAATTTGTTCTATTTACAAAGCAAAGTTTAAACTATATTGTATTCTAACTAAAAATTCTAAGTGTACCTACCTTCTGGAACCACAACGATGTTATTTGAGTGGAGGTACCTGGGGAAAGGGGGAGAGAAAAAAAACAATCATTATCATTAAGTACTTGTGCCAGATAATTTATAAAATGCTAGCTTAGAAATTTATCAAATGTAAATGGGCCAAAACTTTCTTTCACACTATACTTTAATGCATCAAACAAAATACATGGTTATCACAGTAAATTAATAATACTTTGAGAATATTTTATGCCATAATTACAAATATTTAATATTAAATCTAAATCTATTTACTGATTTAGTTGCTATTTTAAAAGTATGCATAATAAATGAGTATTTTTAAACTCATAAATTACTAGTTCCTCCATTCATTTCAAATTATTCATGTTTTCAAAAATATATCTTTTGTGTAAAGAAAAATCAAAACCTATTGCACAAAGGGAGATACAATTGTTAGTTTTTAAAGAATAATTCACAAAATAAAGACATTTCTAGCTAGCATGCTTACTGAGAAACAAGAATGGAGAGATTATATACTCATTTACAGTATCTGTATAAATATCTGACTGTCAAGGTACAGAATGTATTTCACAGTAAAAGAAACTGCATAAACAAAAAATCAAATTCTTCTCTTAAAAAAAAATTGTCCAAGGCTGACAAGTCTAGACAAGTATAAGTAAATAACTTTTACCACTGAAGTATCATTAGCACACTCTAGTGGAGACTTTATGCAATTATCATAACCAACTATTCAGAGCAAAACAACAAAGGGACTACTGGAGATCATACAGTAATAATTTAAGAAAATTAATTTGTATCATTATTTTTGAAATAAGAGTACTAGATTTTAGCAAACTTTATTTTCAAACCTCTAGTTTTTTATTTTATTTTAAAGATAAAGTCTTATAATGTATTTTTAAATAGAATTTAGAAATTGTCTTCTGGATTTTTAAAGTCTAACATTAAATGTTAAAAAGTCAATGAACACAGAATAAGGAAGAAAATAATTTTATGAAGCTTATTCTATGCCAAATTAGAGCAATTTGTAGACTATTAATCTGCTAGGTATAACACAATTTAAACAAGCATATCATTCTGTGATACATTTCATTCCTTGCTTTGTATATATGAAATGATTACACATTTTTAAATCAATATTCTTTAAACATTAATTTTAGGAGGGAATAGCTAGGTACTTTATTAGATGATGCTAAATACAAAAGTGTACACTTGGCATTTGCTACACAAAAGCCAGAGTGCCTAGATACTAAAACAGAAAACTGATTTTCTAAAATTTTTTCAACAAATACTTGCCTCAACTTAAGCTCTACCTATAAAAAAGGACCTTAAAATGTCCAAATCAAAATATGAACTACAGTACCTACTATTATAATTTAAAAAATTTAAATATATTTTAAAACATTAAGTTTATCTACATTATAATGAAGATGCCGTATAAAATGGTACAGAGTATTCCCAATCCGGACTATACACTAGAATCACCAGGGGTCTTATTGGTATCCAAGACCACCCTGTACCACTTTCATCCAAGTGAAACACTGTCTCAACCCCTAAAGTGATTCTGATCAGAAAGCAGCCTCTGGAGCCAGAGGCCTGTATCTTAATAGCCATGTGACCATGGGGAATTTACTAAAACTCTCACTCTCTTAATCCATAAAAGCAAATAATAATTGCACCAACAACATAGGAATATAGTGGGGACTGAATGAATTAATATCAGTGCTTGGTGCATAGTAAGAGTTCAATGAATGCTAGTGTTATTGGTATAGTTATAATGAGTAATATTTATAATCATAGGCTTAGGACTTTCAATTTTAAGTTGCTTCCTTTTACTTAATTTTGGTAACATCAGAGTAGTTAAAATATTTATGTTTCAACGTAACTTGTTTTTATTATTTTCTTCTACTCAAATAATGCAGGAATTCTCATTCATTGTTAGTGGGAATCCTATTTTGGGGCACAGCCACTTCGGAAAATAGCTTGATAGTTTTTTTGTTAAAGTTAAATATAAACATTTACTTAACAGTAATACACCAATGTCAGTTTCTCAATTTTGACAAATGTTCTATGGAATTCTAAGATGTTAACAACAGGGAAACTAGATGAAGCGTATATCAGAATGCTCTGTACTATCTTCATAACTTTTCTGTAAATATAAAATTGTTCTTAAATTTAAAAGTTATTAATTTTTTTTAATGAAAGGAACAGAATTTCCACTTCCAGCCACGATGAAGTAACAGGGATAGAGTAAACAGAATTTACCTGACTGATATAGACAACAAGAAAGCAAGATGAACAGTCATATGTTCTTAATGATTAGGATATGTTCTTAATAAATGTGTCATTAGGTGATTCTGTCATTGTACGCACATCATAGAGGGTACTTATACAAATCTAGATGGTACAGCATACAATACAGCTAGGCTATATGGAACACCCTATTGCTCCTAGGCTACAAATCTATACAGCATGTTATTGTATTGAACACTGTAGATAACTGTAACACAATAATAAGTATTTGTGTATGTAAACATCAAAAAGGTACAGTAAAAATACAGTATTATAATCTTATACTACTTATAAGTCTTTTTTTTTTTTTTTTTTGAGACAGAGTCTCACTTTGTTGCCTAGGCTAGAGTGAGTGCCGTGGCGTCAGCCTAGCTCACAGCAACCTCAAACTCTTGGGCGCAAGCAATCCTACTGCCTCAGCCTCCCGAGTAGCGGGGACTACAGGCATGCGCCACCATGCCCGGCTCATTTGTTCTATATATATTAGTTGGCCAATTAATTTCTTTCTATTTATTGTAGAGACAGGGTCTCGCTCTTGCTCAGGCTGGTTTCGAACTCCTGACCTCGAGCAATCCGCCCTCCTCGGCCTCCCAGAGAGCTAGGATTACAGGCGTGAGCCACCGCGCCCGGCCAATAATCTTATACTACTTATAAGTCTTATATGGGACTACTACCATATATATGTGGTCCATGATTGACCAAAACATTACACTGCACATGACTGTATATTAAACAATTATTTTCAGATATTAACAACAGGCAAGTTGTTAATGTACCCTAAGAGAAAGGAAACAAGTGAGGTAAGCCATATAATCTTCCTAGCTTTCTGTTTGGAGGCAACTTCTGTATTGTGGAACAGAAAGGAGATCCCAAAGTATAGAAGTCTCACTGAGTTACAGAGATATAGATCAGAGTTAAGGAAAGCTGAGGCAGCTGGAAGTTGTGGGGTAGAGTTCTGGAGAAGAAGGCGCTCCCAAAATAATAATAAAAAAAATTTTTTTTAGCTCCAAAAATTTAAATAAGAGATCCCTTGAGTCTCAGTTGAATTCTAAAGTGCACACACATAAAAGAAAGGGTAGGCCAAAAGCAACTTAAAAGCTACCAACTAAATAGTCCACAAAGCTCACACAAGGCTGAGAGGCACTGAAGTCCTGAGCAAGTGTGGCAAATCTTGTTGATCACTTAAGGTATTCAAAAGAGATCCTACAAAGCTCATGCGTAGAAATAGCACGATAATACCCTTAAATTAGAGGTTACTCTAGACTTATCCAAACAAAGTATTAAAACAAACCATAAAAAGATCAAACTAAACTGCAAATAATGGCTGTCAGAAAAGAGCAAAATAAAAATAGAAGAAAACAAATTTAGACTCTCAACAGTATAAACATTTATAAGGTCCATCATTCAATAAAAATTATTAGATGTGCCAAGAAACAGGAAAACATGATCCATAGCCAGGGGAAAAACAGTCAACACAAATAGACCCAGTATGACCTAGATGACAGAATTAGCAACAAAGACATTAAAACAGCTATAATAACTATAATCAGGTATTTAAATGAAAATATGAACATTGTGAGAATTGAAAGATATAAGGAAAAACTAAATAGATCTTCTAAAGATCAAAAATACAATAACCAAAGAAAACTTCACTGGGTGGGATTAACAGTAGATTAGACACGGAATAAAAAAGGATTACTGACCCTTAACACAGAAATACAATGTGTCCAAACAGAGGTACATGGAAAAAAAAAACACTGAAAAGAAATGAACAGAGTCTTAGTAACTGTAGGACAATATTAATATTAAACAGTCTAACAAACATGTTAAGAATTCCACAAGTGAGGGCCAGGAATACAGTATAGAAATAAATATCTGAAGAAATAATATCAAAAATTTCCCAAATTTGATGAAAGCTATGAAGACACAAACTCAAGAAGCTCAATGAACCTCAAGGATAAGGAAAAAGGAAACCACAACAAGGTACATCAAAATCAAATTTCTGAAAACTAGAGTAAAAAATGAAAACTCTTCAAAGTAACCCAAAGGAAAAAAATAAGACACACTACATAAAAAAGAATGTCAGAAAAATAAGATGTCTCCTGAGAAACTATGTAAGCCAGGGAATAATGAACATTGCAAAAGCGCTGAACATCATGAAAGTGCTGAAAGAAAGAAAGAAAAAGACACTGGTGACTGAGAATTCTAATCCCAAGGGGAAAAAATCATTAAAAAAATATAAGAGACAAATGTACAACAAAAAACTGTAAAACTTTTAGGGAAAAAAAGATGGGAGAAAAATCTTTGGGACCCAGGGCTAGATAAAGAATTTCTTAGACTTGACATCAAAAACATATTAATACATAACAACAAAAATTGATAAACTGGGCCTCATCAAAATATAAACCTTTTGCTCTGAAAAAGAACATAAAGAGGATAAAAAGATAAGCTATACACAGGGAGAAAATATCTGTAATAACATATACAATGGAAGACTAGTTTCTAGAATATGTAAAGAATTCTTAAAACTCAGAAATTAAAAAATACAACTAAAACATGAGCAGTAGACATGGATAGGCATTGCACCAAAGAAAAAATACAGATGACAATTAAGTATATGAAAGTATGTTCAATATCATTAGCCTGAACACAAATGAAAACTACAATGTGATAAAACCACACACTGAAATGACTAAAATGAAAAACAGTGACAACACCAAATGCTGGTGAGATGTACAGACATTGAACAAT